CGCAGTAGCGGAAGTAGGTGTAGTAGTAAACACATTAATGGCAGGGATGGTTGTAGTAAAAAGGAACTAATAGTAATACTACTGCTCGTAGTAGTACTGGTAGATAGTAGTCGCAATCGCAGAATGCATAGCAGCAGCAGTAGTCGTAATAGCAGATGTAATAGTAGTAGTAGTAGTAGTAGTAGTCGTAGTAGTAGACGTAGTCAAATAGTAGTAGTAGTAGTAGTAGTAGTAGTAGTAGTAGTAGTAATAGTAGTAGTAGTAGTAGTAGTCGAAGTCGTGCTAGCAATAATAATGGTAAACTTATAATAGTCGTAGTCGTAGCCGTACGTGTAGTCGCAGGCGTCGACATAGTGTCAACCGTCGCCGCATCAGCAAACGTAGTAATAGTAGTGCCGGTAGGAGGAGGAGGAGGAGGCGGAGGAGGAGTGGCTGCAGTGGTAATGGCAAGCGCTCTGGTAGTAGTAGTAGTAGTAGTAGTAGTCGTCGTAGTAGTCGTAATAGTAGTAGTAGTAGTAGTAGTCGTCGTAGTAGTAGTAGTCGTAGTCGTAGTAGTAGTAGTAGTTGTTGTTGTAGTAGTAGTAGTAGTAGTAGTAGTAGTAGTAGTATTAGTAGTCGTCGTAGAAGAAGTAGCCATAGTACAAATATACTAACAAGAATCGTAGAAATGGTAGCTGTAATAGTAGTGGCGGTAGCGGTCGTAATCATAAGGAGGCTTTACGTAACAGGAGTAGTAGTAGCTGCGGTAGTAGTAGTAGTAGTAGTAGCAGCAGTAGTAGTAGTAGTAGTAGTAGTAGTAGTAGTAGTAGTAGTAGTAGTAGTAGTAAAAGTAGTAGTAGTAGTAGTAGTAGCAGCAGCAGCAGCAGCAGCAGCAGCAGTAGTAGTAGTAGTAGTAGTAGTAATAGTAGTAGTGGTAGTAGTAGTAGTAGTAGTAGCGGAGAGTAGTAGCATTAGTACTAGAAGTCGTCGTAGTAGCGGCACTAGTAGTAGTCGTCGTCGTCGTAGTAGTGATGAGAATACGAATGCTAAGAGTAGTCACAATAGTAGTAGTCGGAGGAATACGAATCATAGCCGTGGTAGCAGTAGTAGTCGCACAAACATTACCCTGGCGACGTACCCAACCCCTGCGCAAACGCGGGGCGCAAATAGTTTAGGACACTTTATAAGGGTGGCGATGACGGAGCGAGGGTTACATTTGTCTGCAGACGGAATTCGGGAGACTCGCAGGACACTGGCTTCACGACAAGGACTAGATAAAGCTGATTAGTTGCAATCCCTGAGCAACCCTAGCCACTTCGAAAGCGGGGATCTCAGATCGCAACCCCCCAGGGATGGCGAGGTCTAATTTGGGTCCGCCCGTGGCGTCACTGTGCTGGGCCCCCCAGCGGGCCTCGAAAGTGGCGACAGTTTCACAGATCGCAGCCCTCCAGGGATGGCGAGGTCTAATTTGGGTCCGCCCGTGGCGTCACTGTGCTGGGCCCCCCAGCAGGCCGCGAAAGTGACGACAGTTTCACAGATCGCAGCCCCCCAGGGATGGCGAGGTCTAATTTGGGTCTGCCCGTGGCGTCACTGTGCTGGGCCCCCCAGCAGGCCTCGAAAGTGGCGACAGTTTCACAGATCGCAGCCCCCCAGGGATGGCGAGGTCTAATTTGAATCCGCGCGTGGCCACTGTGCTGGGCCCCCCAGCAGGCCTCGAAAGTGGCGACAGTTTCACAGATCGCAGCCCCCCAGGGATGGCGAGGTCTAATTTGGGTCCGCCGTGGCGTCACTGTGCTGGGCCCCCCAGCAGGCCTCGAAAGTGGCGACAGTTTCACAGATCGCAGCCCCCCAGGGATGGCGAGGTCTAATTTGAATCCGCCCGTGCGTCACTGTGCTGGGCCCCCCAGCAGGCCTCGAAAGTGGCGACAGTTTCACAGATCGCAGCCCCCCCAGGGATGGCGAGGTCTAATTTGAATCCGCGCGTGGCCCTCACTGTGCTGGGCCCCCCAGCAGGCCTCGAAAATGGCGACAGTTTCACAGATCGCAGCCCCCCAGGGATGGCGAGGTCTAATTTGAATCCGCGCGTGGCCCTCACTGTGCTGGGCCCCCCAGCAGGCCTCGAAAATGGCGACAGTTTCGCAGATCGCAGCCCCCCAGGGATGGCGAGGTCTAATTTGAATCCGCGCGTGGCCCTCACTGTGCTGGGCCCCCCAGCAGGCCTCGAAAATGGCGACAGTTTCACAGATCGCAGCCCCCCAGGGATGGCGAGGTCTAATTTGAATCCGCGCGTGGCCCTCACTGTGCTGGGCCCCCCAGCAGGCCTCGAAAATGGCGACAGTTTCACAGATCGCAGCCCCCCAGGGATGGCGAGGTCTAATTTGAA